ACGTATTTCCTCCCTACTAGTGAGGGAAGTGTCAAGGAGGTATAGATGGGTAGAGATGACACAAACATCTCTGAGTGATGGCTATACTCCCTTCCACCAAGCAGGCCCAACAAATTTGGTAGAAGTGCTCTGGTAGCAGCAACAGGTGGTTCAGAAATCTAGGACTATGTAGGGGCCGGGCGCGGTGGCTCATGCCTATAACCCCAGCATTTTGGAAGGCCAAGGTGAGCAGATCACCTGAGGTCAGGAGTTCGAGACCAGCCTGGCCAACATGGTGAAATTCCATCTCTCCTAAAAATACAAAAAATTAGCCAGGTGTGGTGACACATGCCAGTTACCCACCTACCCGGGAGGCTGAGGCAGGAGAATCACTTAACCTGGGAGGCAGATGTTACAGTAAGCTGAGATTATGCCACTTCACTCCAGCCTGGGTGACAGAATGAGACTCCATCTCAAAAGAAAAAAAAAAAGAAAATCTAGGAGTAAAGCTTTGAGATCCATGAAGAATCTCTTCTACTGGTTCTAACATAGTTAGAACTCTTCCTAACATAACTCCTTTTAGAAACATAAAAATCCATCCCAACCTCAGCCCTTGAGGTCAGCCTACAGATATAAAAGTGGACCCAAAGGGTAAAGCAGATCCATGCAGCACTCACGTCTGTTTGGAAATACATGGTAGGTGCTTCCATTCATTCCCTGACCTTTCTTTCCACAAGTGTTGCACAGTGGTATCATTTGGATTATGTCAGGCACAAGCCTTTAGTGGGAACTGACGTTAAAGATCAAGTTTTCTGCACAAAAGTTAGCATGGCACTCTATCCTGCCAGCGTCTCCTTGCACAGTGATGGGAATCCATTTATTCTCTGTGAGCCTTCTGCTGCCTTTTAGTGGTCTGAAGTAAGACCATTTCCTTATACCAATCTAGTCAGAATCCACCCCTTTCCAACACTTTTAATTCTGACTCACCTGATTAATACAAAGAACCAAGTAAAAGGATCCCAGAACACCTTGATTTAAAGAACCTGACCTAGAATTTGTGATTTAGCCACCAATGTTTTAGCTCTCAATGTAAGGGAAGGAATGCTGAATCATCCTGCTCCTAAGAGACAAACACTAACACAACCTCATTTCCAGGTCAGACTCATTTTATATGTCTTGGTGGGTATTTGTCCCTGAGTTTGTGACTATACTTGTTTCTTGAGCCAATTAATCAAACAGACCTGTGGGTGGGCAAAGAACTTAATTCTCCCTAGTGAATCTGTCCTCATTTACACATCTCCTCATGATCTCCCCGACACAGAAGCTCCTTAGCTCAATGCAGTGAAAGTCTCACATAGTTCAAATTAGCTTTTGAGAAACTTCATTTAGTCATCCAACAAACATTAACTGAATGCCTACTATGTACTAGTTATGAAGCATACATTTGAAGAATCCCAGTTCTTCAGGGGGAGGAGGGATATAAACTGTATAAATAGACAAATTATAACAAAATATGAAGAGTGCCATTTTAAAAGGAATTGACAAAGCTATCTTGAAGCAGATGAAAGAGAGGGACTACTTGGGGACGGAGTAAGGAGCTCAAGAAAGTCTTTATAGAGATGAGTGACCTATGCTGAATTTGAAGGATGAATAGAGGTTAACCATGTGGGAGGGAACAGTGGGCATCCAAGGCAGAGGGAATTTTAGTGCAAGGTCTGGAGTCACAGAGGGGCATAGTGAAATCAGTGTAAACTGCTGTAAGGGATAGAGTGGAAGAGAGGAGACGGATTTAGACCAGAATTATTGAGTATTGGTCCTAACTCCCAGCCAGTGCTATATTCCCATATATCCTTATTCGCATTTAAGAGCTAATAGGTAAAAAGAAGCTAAATCTATGCCCGGCACAGAGTAAGCACCATATATATATATATATACACACATACATATATTGCTATGACCCTTATTATTATGTACATTCTGATGTCACATCCATCACTTTATCCCTAGGGTTGAGAATATTTAGTACGTATTTGTTGAATAAATAAATAAACTTGCAGTTTCTGAAAAGGAAACAGAGGTGGATATGATTTTCATATAATGTTACACCCAGCAGAAAGTGAAGGGAGGCTGTTTTCTACAGGTTTGCTTCAGTCACCTAAAGATCATTTTCCTCTCCCCGCTGTTTCCCCACTCAGATTACTAGATTAAAAATAATAATCATGAAACCTTGCATTTGTATAGCATTTTCCATTTACATGCATAATCTTGTTTAAAATACAGTACCTGCAATCTTTAAATTCAAAACTTATCATCTCTTGTCTGAATCCTATTTCTAGATGAAACTGAAACACTAAGCCCTGGATTTGGGCTCCCACTAGCCTCCAGGAAAAAAAACTCAGGAATGAATTTAAGCAATTGGCAGAGGCACTGCCCATACCTCCTTCCCCAATCAACTCCATCATATTTCTACACTAACATAAAGAAGCAATAGAAAGGAGTGAAGGCACAAAGGCTTTGTAAAGGCGATACCTAAATTTCCTAAACTATAAAATTACATTACAAAGTCACTGTCTAGCCTCAATTTAATTCAATTCAGCTCAATTCCACATCTACTGAGAAAGGTACTATAGGCTACAGATGTCCTAAAGGAAGCTTATTCCATATCACTGAGCTAGAAATTAGGCAATCAGGTTTTTTAACTTTAGGTTTGCCGCTAACTACCTGGATGGCATCGAGGAAGTCACTTCACCTCTTTGAGCTTCAGGTTCTTCTTTGTCAAATAAAGGAATCAGAATGGATGATCTGAAAATCCTTCCCAGTTCTCATTCTGTAATTCTCAAATGGTAAATAATATCAGCATCATAACTACATATTTCTGTATTTCAAAGCAAGTGAATTCTGAGTTTTTTTTTTTTTTTTTTTTTTTTTTTTTTTAAGAGAAATACGTTGGCTCAGCAAATTGTCAAGGGTTTTCTATAGTTTGAACTGGGAAACTTAGATCATATCCTGATTCATTAAAAAATATGTATTGAGAGCCTACTGTGTAAGGCACTATTCTAGCCACTATTATAGCACTGAACAAAGCCAACAAGGTCATTTTCATGGGACTCACTTGTGCTTTAATTACTCTGCTTCCATAGCAAATCTTTTGACAGCTTTGGACAGCAGAATTGGTGATTAGTTTTGTTCTATGTACTGTGATTTGTGTGAGCTACCTCAGAATTAACAAAAATTAAAACTGCATCAAAAAAAATACCTGTCTTCAATTTCTTTGTCTACCAGGCAAATAGCTGTGTAGATTTTCTTGTAGTTAAAAAGAACAAACTCCTGGTTTGTAGATAGATTAAGGTATTTTCACACATGAATTCCATTAATATTTAAGACATTAAACAAAAGAGTCTGAATGTTTCCTATAGCACCAGCATTTAATTTTATCTTTTTCTAGGGCTGATTCTTTAAAATGGGGTTTCAGATACAGAGTATTTTCTTACTCTTACAGAATTTGTGATGGTTCTACCACAAAAACATGATGTGAAATTTGGTTACTGTATCTCAAAAAAGACATCTTTACAAGCTGTAAAATAAATAAGCTAAAAGCTCATCCTGGAAAGATGTACATGTTACTTAATCTAAGTCGGTAAAATACAACAGATTATACAATTTAAATATGATACTGAAGCACATAAATTTAAAGCTAGAGGAAACTTAACCTTAACCCTTAGTTTCCATAAATGATTATCCTGAGATTCAAAGACATAAATTGGCTCACCCAAAGCAAACCCAAGATACTTGTTAACCGCAAATAAGAATCGACATCTGCAGATTCCCTGTTTAGAAATCTAGTTCTACATGAACTGTGAGAGTTTTTTTTAGTAAATCTGAAAGACATTGGTTGTAGATTAAATGTAAGGTACCTAATATTTATGGTATATTTCTCCAACAGGATATACAATCTGATATTAAGTATAAGGGATTCGATAAACTTACGGATGAAAAATCTATAACAGATATATTCCACTCAGAAACAGGTCATATTCAAAATCTCACTTGTAAGTAGTCTTTCCGAATTTGGAATTCCTTTCCCTGCCAAAGCAAAGTAACAAATTACGAGCTTAGTTAACCAGAAATAATGGTTGAAATAATGCGAACAGTATCCCAAGATGCACCCTGAACTGGGCACAAACCCTTTTGAGTCTTGACTCCCTGAAGTTGTTGGATGACTTCAGTGGAGCCCCAAAGGCACTCAGACAGCAAGCCGGGGGAGTTTTCTGCGTCAGGGATTCCTAAATCAGAGAGGCCTTGTATTAAGGATATGTGAAAAAATAATTACTCTTTTGAGGTCAGATCCACAGATGACAACCAAGTCTTACCCACAAAAGTCTCCTGAACACAGCAGTGGAGTGATCAGTGAGGCCAGAACGGTCTGTACCTGAAATCCCGGCTCTTCTGGAATCAGAATTCAACACTGCTAGGGAGAAGGATGAGTTAAACCCATCAAAGGTCTACACTCTCACTTTACACTCCAAAAGTGACTCCAATCTTTCTCAGATTTCCCCCATATCTGGTTTTTTAAAGTACTGATGTTACACACTCCTAAAAAACTTTTTAAAACAGTCATCTTAATCGTAATTTTGTAAATCTGGTGTGGGTTTCTAGAGATCTCAGAGTCTAAACTGTGAAGGTATTGATGCAAGCAGGATTTGCCCATTTGGGGCTTAACTGCCTGATTTTCCTAGGACACCCGGGCGGCTTCAGGTGAATTTGGGTTTCTCACAAAACGAAGTCCCCTAAGTAAATTAAATCGCGTTCTCGAATCTTGCCCTCGGGGCAGGTGGTGGTGGTTAAAGAAGCTATGAAGGTTAGCAGCTTTCTCCAACCCCAAGAAGTCTCTCAGAGGGAGAGCGGCCGGTGTGCCAGCCCGAAGGAGACTCGGCTGCAGGAGGCCAGACAAGCGCTCCCACCCGGCCGGCTCTCGCGGACACCGGGCGCCTCCCTGCCCTCCCGGGGCCCGCCTCGCTCACCGAGGTGGCCGCCGACGACGGTGACGGCGATCTGGTCCATGAGCACCGCCCGGAAGCGCACGTCCTGCTCGGAGCAGCGCTGTCGGAGGGCGCGCAGGATCTGCACCTGCGGGTAGTCCTCGCGGATGCGCCGGTCAGTCAGGAACCAGAGCTGGGAGCACATGGCGGCCAGGGCGAAGAGCCCCGCGCGGCGCGGGGCAGCGCGGACCCCTCGGCGCCCCGGGCCGCTCGCTCAGCAGGGCGAGCGGAGGGGCTGCCGGCGTCCGGGGCGAGCGCGCCGCGGCTCCGCTCCCGCGGGTGCGCCAGGCGCCTCTGCAGCCCTGACCCAGCGAATCCGCCCGGCCACTCAGCGCCGCCGCCGGCCCCGCCAGCCAATCAGCGCGCGGCGGCGGGCGCTGGCGGCTGCAGAGGCGGCCCTGGCGGGCGGCGCCGGGAAAGGGCGGCGGGCCGGGGGCCTGCGGCTGCCGGGGAAAGGACCCAGGATTTCGGGGTTCCGGCGAGCGAGCCCCCGGCGAGCGCAGGCGAGGCGGAGGACGGTAGCCCCGGCAGGCCCCCGACCCCCCGGTGGGCATGGCGCTGCGGACTGGGGTGGAACGGCCGGAGCGGGAGGGAACGGGGCGGCGGCCCTTTGCGGCTCGGAGGGTTTCGGAGCTGACTGGCCAGGGATGCGCAGTGGGCGGCGGATGCGTCCCGGAGGCGATCCCGAGAGCTTGGGGGCTGGGGAACACAGGCGGGCGCCTGCTGAGCCCTGGTGATGTAGGGCCTTGGGGACGTCCTAAAGGAGATTCCGGGGCCTGACGAAGGTCACACGGCCAGGCCCCCCAGTTGGACCCTTAAAGCCTTGGAAGGCTGAAATCTTAGCCTGAGGCCCCACGAGGGTGGGGGAGGATGTAGGAGAGGGGGAAGTTGAGTTTTAGCCACTTCCCATTCAGATAATTTGAAGGTGCATTTCTTGGGGTCTCAGATTTTCTTACAACGGACAGCCCCTCCTTGGTTGCAGCAGGTTTGAGCCTTCACAGCCTCGAGGTCATAAAAAATGGGGGGATAGAGACAGCAAACCATCATGGCATGTGTGTACCTATGCAACAATCCTGCCAGATCTGCACATGTACCGCAGCACTTAAAGTACAATTGAAAAAAAAAAAAAAAAACCTGACCTAGCATCCTTTTCAGTTAGAAGGACCACTGGCTGGTTTCCCTTCACCCCTCCCTTTCTCTCCCGGCCGTACAACTGAGTCATCTTTAAACACTGTCCTTGGTCCTGGCCAATTGCAAACCCTGCCTGCAGACAATAGAGTTTGAAGCCAAATTTTCCTCTCTAAATAAACTGCAGGATTGAAGTTAGCCATATTTGGAGATTGCATTTGCAATACCAGTTCATTAAAATATGTCTCTTTTTTTTTTTCTTTTTTGGTTTTGGGAAGCAAGAGTAGTTTCAAGGTAGACCTAGCAATGGCAACTTAGAAATGGGGTAAATTGTCTCAGGAAAGACACAGGCTTCACTGTAAATAGTGTACAGGTGTGTGCATTTACTCTCTAAGATGAGCCTGAAGGAAAGTTCTGTATACTGGAATTTCAAAAATTCTTTCTCAAGCAATCTTAAGTAAATCCTTTGATGTTGCAAAATATCTCCTCCCTGCTCCTATGAATGTATTTTCTTAAAGTAATAGTAGTGCCCTATGGATTAGTAACTTTCAAAACTGTTTTCTGGCAAAAGACAAAATTACAACAAATGTAGTTATAGATTGAATTGGTTTTTGAGATTCATGAATTGAGGTAGCCTCCATTCTACAAAACAGAATAAGAATCTCCACTGGGCAATGGTAGAAGAGTGGGTTTTAAAAGAGGGGAACAAGGAAACAGAACAATGGAAAAATTGCTGATTGGTTAACATCAGGCTACTTCAGGTTACTTTTTTTGGTGAGGGTTAAAGCAGTGGGGGGAACTTCCTAATTATGCTGATTCAGGTAAACTGGAATCTCCTGTTTTCAGGAAAAACTGGTCTGTTGTAGGATGTCTCTCAAGTTTCAGTTTGATTATGTGGCATTTAGCAGGAGGGACTTGATTTGGTTTGGTCTCGTCTGTTTTGGCCTAGTGCAAAAGCTCAGACCAAAAGAGTGGCCTCCCATAATTTTTGTTTAACCCTTCATTAGCTTGGGCACTAGAACCTCTATGTTCTACATTGGCCTTTTCCTTGATATTTCATGTTATATATATATTTTTGACCCTGGCTTCTGCAGTATAGTGTCACCCATAGGATGTCTGTAAGATGATCAGAACCTTAGTTTTCTGGAACAATAATTTACTAAAAGATATAAGTCTGTAAATTTAAATGGGTTAAATTTAAATTTAAATGGGTTACTTATAACCCATTTTCAAAGCAATCCACACTAGAATGTTTAAGTTAACTGCAAATGGCTATTGAGGTCCATAAAAGCCAGGCTTGAGGAGAGCAGAGTCTGAGGATGGGATCCAGATGTTGCTTTCTCTGACTCCCTCAGCAAGAGCTCATTCCTGCCTCTGTGATCTCCCCTTCTCTGGATGGGACACAGAGACCTGGGACAGGAGCATATCCAGTTAGGACACATGTAGTTCCAGTATTCTTTTATATCACCAGAATTCCTCAAACACAGAGGCAGCTTTTCCAGGTACAGGTGTGCTTTCTAAGATATATGACTTTATGGAATATTTCTCCATAGATGACTCCCAAATTCAAATTTAACCTTGATGTTTCCTGAGTTTTGGGATTTAAAAGGATGCTGTTGTGCCATCACCTCAATGTCCCTAGGCTAAACTCATTATTTTTGCCTCCATTCCAGGTTCAAATGTCTTAAATAAAAAGGAAAATGGATTATCTCATATAACAATAAACCTGGAGGTAGGTAGGTTAGGATTCTTTTTTTTTTTTTTTTTTCTGAAACAGTCTTACTCTGTCATTCAGACCTGGAGTACAGTGGCATGATCTCAGCTCAGTGCAACCTCCACCTCCCAAGTTTGAGTGACTCTCCTGCCTCAGCCTCCTGAGTAGCTGGTATTACAGGAATGTGCCCCTATGTCCAGCTAATTTTTAAATGTTTGGTAGAGATGGGGTTTCACCATGTTGGCCAGGCTGGTCTTGACCTCTTGACCTCAAGTGATCCGCCCACCTCATCATCAGTGACACAGACTCTTTCCATATTTTCATTCTGACAGCCTTGGGCTAGTGCCCCTGATAGCTACAAAATGGCTGCCACAATTCAAGCTGACGCAGACCTACATGCAATGTCCAGCAGAAACAGAGAGACTTATTTCTTCCTGTGTGTCTGTTTTTAATCAGCAAGGAAATCTTTTCTCAGAATCCTTCAAACAGACTTTCTGGTCTCATATGCCCATGTCTAGGCCAGTTACAAGCAAAGAAAAGGAAAATATCATAAATGGCTTAAATTCATATGGTTCATTCCTTAGGGCTGAGAATTAGACCCCCTTCCTCCAAGCACATGGTCATGAAGAGGTGGGTGAACTGGGAACAAATTAGGGTTATCTTAGGAGGATTGAAAGGAAAATAGATGGCTGGGCACAGTGGCTCATGCCTGTAATCCCAGCACTTTGGGAGGCCAAGGTCGGTGTATGACTTGAGGTCAGGAGTTCGAGACCAACCTGGCCAACATGGTGAAATCCCATCTTTACTAAAATGAAAAAAAATTACCTGGGTGTGGTAGCGCAAGCCTGTGATGCCAGCTACTTAGGAGGCTGAGGCATGAGAATCGCTTGAACCCAGGAGATGGAGGTTACAGTGAGCTGCAATTGTGCCACTGCACTCCGGCCTGGGTGACAGAGTGAGCTGCCATCTCAAAAAAAAAAAAAAAAAAAAGGAGAATAGCTGTTGGGAGGATAAACAATGGTGCTTCATATAGGTGACAATATGGTAAATGTATCTGTCAGGATAAGCTAGGTTAGGCTGTGGTGACAGGTGATCCCAAGAGGGCTTACGACAATGAAGTCTTATTTCTGAAAATATCCTTGTACATGGTAGGGCAGTATGGCTATCCTCTAGGTTTTATTTTTGTGCCAGGACCCAGTCTGATAGAGCTATCTTTATTTTTTTTCAGAGAGGAGATCTTGCTTGTTGCCCAGGCTAAAGTGCAGTGGTATAATCATAGCTCACTGCAGCCTCGACTCCTGGCTCAAGCAATCCTCCCACTTTAGCCTCCTGAGAGGGTAGGACTATGGGTGTGCACCACTATGCCCAGTTGATGTTTTTCTTTTTTTGTAGAGATGGGGTCTCACTATGTTACCCAAGCTGATCTTGAACTCCTGGCCTCAAGTGATCCACCTGCCTCAGTTCCACAAAGTGTTAGGATTACAGATGTGAGCTACTCCACCCAGACCAGAGCAGTCTTTATCTGGAACATATTGGTTTCTCATGGAAGAAAGAAAGTGATTATGATGAACCACACACTGGCTCTTAATACTTGTGCCTAGAACTTCGACATGGTCCACTCACATTTTCTTGGCCAGACCAAGTTCACCTGGCCACACCTGATGTCAATGGAGTAGGGAAAATATAATCCTTCCCTGGGAAATGCAGCAAAAATTTCTGAACAATTGTGACTGTATACAGTCTGCTATAATCAAAGACCAGAAATAGCCAAATCCTGCTCTGCCAATCATCCCTCCTCTCCTCAGGCTTCCCAGGGGAACTCTATCGAAGAAAAATTGGAGTAGAAACCAAAGGATCATTTTATTCATAGCTGAGCTAGCACCCAGCAACCTCTAGAGCAGAGCTCTGCAAAAATATGGAGTCAAATTGCATGGCTTAGGTTTAAGGCTGAAGTGATGCTTCCTAATTCCCTGCCCCACCCTCCCCACACTGTAAGATTTGGGACCAGTATGCTTAGGCACGCCTATGGAAAGAGATGGGAAGGTGAGCAGGTCTGCAAAGCAGACCAGCTTTACTCATCCAAGTGTGTGCTAAATGAAGATGGGTCTGGGCCTACTCAGAAGGAAATGAAGGCCAAGTGCAGTGGCTCATGCCTGTAATCCCAGCACTTCGGAAGGCCAAGGCAGTTGGATCACCTGAGGTTAGGAGTTCGAGACCAGCCTGGCCAACAGGGCAAAACCCCGTCTCTACTAAAGATAAAAAAATTAGCCAGGCATGGTGCAGGCACCATGTAGTTCCAGCTATAGTTTCAGCTACTGGGGCGGCTGAGGCAGGAGAACTGAACCCAGGACGTGGAGGTTGCAATGATCTGAGATCTCACCATTGCACTCCAGCCTGGGCAACAGAGCGAGACTCTGTCTTAATTTTTAAAAAAAGCTGGGTGCAGTGGCTCATGCCTATAATCCCAATACTTTGGGAGGCCGAGGTGGGCAGATCAGCTGAGGTCTAGAGTTCGAGAGCAGCCTGACCGACATGAAGAAACCTAGTCCCTACTAAAAATACAAAATTTGTCAGGTGGGCATGGTGGCGCATGCTTGTAATCTTAGCTACTTGGGAGGCTGAGGCAGGAATTGCTTGAACCCAGGAAGTGGAGATTGCGGTGAGCCGAGATCGTGCCATTGCACTTCAGCCTAAGCAACAAGAG